ATCCCGTAGCATAGTGTCCATGGCCCTTTGGAAGGTTGCTGGGGCATTGCTTAATCCTTGAGGCATATGAGTTGGTTCAAACAAACCTTCCCTTGATATCAGGGCACACTTGGCACGGTCTTCTGGTGATAACTTGATTTGCCAGTATCCACTGGCTAAGTTATGGCCGAAAAATAAAGGATCCAGACAACACTCTAAGGGAATCATCGATCCTAAGTAAGAGATAACAATCTCATTGAGTAATAGCATTCATTCTTCAATAATCCATAACAACTCGGTGGGAACCATCTTTCTTCTTAACCAACAACAATGGAGATGCCCAAGGACTATTGGAGGGTTTTAACAATCCAGCCACCAACAAAATTGATGCAGCTCCTTAGTAACCTGGGCTTCTTCTACTTTAAACTTACAATAGGGCTTTTCACAAATAAGAGGGTGATTGCCAGTTTCAACAGAGTGCATTACTCCTTTCTTCTTCCCAAAATCGTAAGTATGCTTAGCAAAAATGTTATAATATTTGTCTAATAATTACAGCACTTGTTTCTCATGGTTCTTAGTGAGGTGTTTTCCAATAGCTGGACCCACAGTAAGGATTTCCTGATCACTTTTCAACCCAAAATCTTGTATACTTCCAAAGGGTTTAACATCATAAATCCGATATAAGGGCAGTAACTTGACATAAGCGATAGGATGCTCTCAATCTACCAATTTCAGCTCATTGGTAAGGTTTGCCAGTAAGATGGATAATGATCCTGAGTAAGCACAATCCAATACTCCAGGACAAGGCAAGAGATATTTAGCAGAAGAGTTGAAAATGCCTTGAACTTGTAACTATGCCTTTTGTGATCAAAACTGCAAAGAAGAGTTAACAAGCACCTGTGATTTTGGCGGAATAACTAAGTTTTTGGGGGAGTAAATAGGCATCCCTTCTTCAATATCAGCCGATGTAGGGGGTAATTTTATGTGAGAATCTTCAACGTGATATCGAAATAAATTTTGACCTTTTGATTCCTTCTAACTGACATTAGGTAGAAGCATGATCAGATAAAAGTAAGGGAACTCTATACCCCAAGAGAGACAACGATAAGTTGGGGTAATTGATAGTTCCATCAAATTCTCTAGAAAAAGAGTCCCTAAAAGTAGGTCATAACTCAAGTTATTGCGTACAATTGCAGGGACTGTATAATCTTTTTTCCCAATTTTCAGGGGAAGGGACAAAAAAGCTCCATTTGACCGAGTACTTTGAGGTCCAGCTGTGCTCTATTCTTCAAAGTGAGAAATATCAGGAGTTAATTTAATCCGCTTGGTGGCTTTGATAAACAACATTCACATGAGCCCTGTATCTATGATAGCCTTGCATTGACTTGATTCACTTGGAAGTCAATATGGGTAATGGTGCTTCCAAACTGAGAGGATAAAGCTAACAAGGAGGGCAAGAAAATAAGAAAAATGTTCATCTTTAATTTACTTGATTGGGCTTTGATGTTCTTGCTGGGCACTCATATCATAATCAAGGTGGAGAATCTTATTGGGCTTAACTCTTTTCTTCTTCTCATCTGCTTCCTTCTTGAAACAATGATCCTCAGCATAAAAATATCAATGACAGTAGTTACAATGGTGTGCCCTAGTATTCTCAGGCATAGCATAGACTTTTGGGGCGACTAGGTCTAGGAGACTCATAACCTTGGGTTTTTTGGAGAATTGATGAGGCAATTCCAATAAGGCCTCCTTAATGTCCAAAATACTTCGAAGTTCTTTTTTACACTGATCAAATAAACTTGCATCTGCGTTCAAGAAGAAAAAACTGACATAACTGCTGTAATTGCATCATCCAAATTTTACCAACCACAAGCCACTAGAGTCTGAGCTTCCCAATAAAACTGATGAGCAAAGTCTTTTATGGATTTGTTTCTATGGGGCTGTATACCCATAAAAGCCTGTTTTTGGGAGGATAAAGTTTGCTCACTCCCAAATTCTTTGATTAGCATTTCCATCACCTGAGACCAAGTAGAACAAGTCATCAAGTGAGGTACCATTATATCCTGAGCCAAATGAGTAAGGCAATTTGGCAAATGATTCATTTTTGGTGATTCCTAGCCTCACTTAGCGCCTTTTAATAAAGATAGAGGATGGAGATAATGCTGCCTTCCCCTGGGAAGTACTTGTCTTTGAATATCAGTTTTAAACTCATAGGGGCATTATGGTCAAAACATGTACTTTAGGTAGTTCAGATTAAGTGGAAACATACAAATTGGAGTCCGACGCTTGAAAAGAAAATTGAGGATAAGGACTTGCAGCCTCAGTATGAATTTCACTAATCCAACAGTTCAGCTCAGCAGCCCCACTTTCTCATCTAATCAGTGAGATAGCTCAAATATCTGTTCCTGTTGGGCATTATACTTGAGTTCCAGCGTCTCAATCTTCGCTTGGAGCATGACTCCTTTAGATTCACAAGCATGGAGCAGGATATTGGTGTCCTTTGCCCATTTACCCAAATCTACCAACTCATTGGATAAAGACTGTAGTGACAAGAGGGGATTAATTGGTACCCCATCGGGGTTAAGTTACAATCCTTGGCCAACTTATAGAATTGTTCACGTAAGCAATCCATCATATTTAAGAGTGAGTCGATTTATTGAAGGGATCTGGAATGCCCATCAGCACCCAGAGGCCCCAAGGTCCTTCCAAGCCTGGCGGTCCTTGAGGCCCCTACATTCCTGGGAGGTCCTTGAGGTCCATCAGCACTAGGTGGTCCACATGGTCCTACACCCCCAGGTGGCCCACAAGGTCCTTCAACCCCTGGAGGACTCATGGATCCTGAGGCTTTCTCTACCTCATTGACCTGGAATTGAATCCCTTAGTACATCTGTTCCAATTGAATAAGATGGGTTCTAACTTCCACCTCCATTGATTGATTACGCTCAGAGAGTTGGGAAAGGACCTCTATCCATTCTCTCTGAATCTCCTGAACTCACTTTGTGAACTGAACATCAACAAACCCAGACATCCCAATATCGAGCTGAATAAGCTGTTGATGAATTTCATTGAGAAGGATCCAATTACCAATAATGGCCTCACAATTATTTCAGCAAAATTTGGAGGCAGATTTGAAAAATCTGGAAACATAATTAAACAAGGGTTGAAGTCCTTCTAGTAAATTGAGCATCCCTTGATGGTGCATTCCCACTATGTGTATTAAATGGTGTAGTATAGGGTGTAAAAGCTGATGCAAGTATTGCTCAGGGCCAGTTCCAGACATTTGGGAGGATTGCAAAACTTCCTGCAAGATAGAGGGTACAGCATAAGATTGAGATTGGGTAGCACGGATCTAGGGATTAAAAAACCTTCAAGCATTTGATTTATAATATTTTATAAAACCTCAGGTGGTATTTGAAATTCTAAGGTAAGGCTTAAGCTAGGACCATATAATTCCAAGTTGCATGAAATTTCAACGTGGAGGGTATTATTGGGATTTGGGTTTCAGATAAATGAACCCATCGTTGTATGCAGCCTTGCTCATGGTCATGAGCTTCTTCAGGCGAAAAATGAGAATCCATGGTAGTTATTGACATTTTCAATGGTGCTTAACTTAGAGTGCCCCTGATGTGAACACCAGTCTGGAAGTTTTGGACTACACTTCTGATGGGGCAGATTTTCTCTCGAAGTTACACTGGGCTGATTCTCCAAAAAAGCAGTAAACATTAAACGAAAATACAGGTTATAATTTGACCTAAATTTTATTATCAAAAGAGGGGATATTTATTGGCTTTGTAACAGCTCATAATCAATCAGAGTATATTAATCTCTGCATGATTAAATCTTCAATAAACTGATTGGGATAAGATTTATCAATAACTTTGATAGATTGAGATATATTGCTCTATTCTTCTGATGATGCCAGGGGAATCAATGGAGTGGAATTTACAGAGATATGTGGATTTGCTGAAATCCCGACACCCCTCCACCCCTATAAATGGGGGTGGTCTCCGCCTAAGCGTTTGAACGGAGTTGTTAAGGGGCCAGGGAGGAGCCTCAGCATAACTTATCATATTTGGTCTCAGCTTTCAGCCCACCCAATTACTAAGAGCTTGTTTATTTGGCTAAAAATATTGGAATCAAAAAATGCCACAATTTGCGGGATTCTTACAAGAATTGGCCAGAGTCTTTTGGCCAATTTCATCAATATTATAAACAAAGTACTCTTTATTACAATATCTAACTTGTAATTGTCCAACAACATAAAAATAAGATGATTCTTAATGTGTTTGGCCAGGAAGAACATATATTCATCATCATATCCCTCTTATCCCATCAGTCTACAATTTTCAGTTCAGATGTCTGCGGTTCCTAGTTAAGATCTGCTATTCCATGTTTACATATAAAAACATGTGCAAAAAATTAAAATGGTATCTGAATCGAGAAAAGATGTTTTCTTATGGCCATTTGTATGTAGCACGCTACAGAGTCAGTGCTTCTGACAGCCTGACTATCATTAATCCTGAGATAAAAAAGATATTTGGTTCATAGAAAATACTTCAACATTTAACGAAAAGGAAAATATCTATAAATAAACATATAAGCAAGTCAGTTGACTAGTTATGTACATCATTCTCAGGGTTGGAATTGAAAAAAAGGCTTTGGCCCAACTACCTGATTATTATTAGACCTGAAACCCACGACTATTTATATCTTTTACAGAAAAATAGCTATAATATTTACTATACTCTTTCACATGAACTCATTTTTTGCACTTTCAGTTTTTTTGTATAACATTATATGCTATTAATGCATTTAATCTTCTTAAATAATTTTTTCAGTTTTTTATTCTATAGTAAGATAAGGGTACATGGTTGTTGGTGACTAAAAAAGATATTTATGCAAAAATGGTATCTATCTATTATTAGCTTTTTTACTATTAAAGAATCTTAATTTTATAAAAGTTTATGACTTTGCTAATAAGCTGATATAGTAATAATTTAGAAAAGGTAATAAAACTTATAGCCTGGCTAGCTCAATCAGCAGAGTGTGAGACACTTAATCTCAAGGTTGCAGGTTCTACCCCTTGTTGGGCTTTTCCTTATTTAGTGTGTTCACTTGTGCGCTCTACACCTAAATTCAGCAGGTATTTTTAAGGAGAAGTAGTTTCTCTACCTAATGAAAGAATAATTATGAGGGGGTTATATGACCACCTATAGTAAATAAAGATAATAGGTAAACTATATGTTTTGGATTTTTTATATTTTTATTAGTATCTGCGGGGATATGAAAAGAAACCTCTTAATAAGTTAATACTTAGTATTTAAGATGTCAACGTTTGAAGTATGGATTGGTTTGTTAAGGTTAAATTAGATTTTTTTTTAAATTTTTCATATCAGATCTTAGAAAACTTGCTCTTCTGATGAAAAGCTGATGGAAAGTCTATTGTTGGCAGATATGACCATGAGGCTACACTTTTTATTTTATTTATTTGAGGCAAGCTGACCGGGGGGACAGACATTACCAAAATAGAGAAAGAAAGTATTGACATGAAACCTGAGCAGGGTCAACTCTGTCATAAAAAGTTTTTTCACCTCTGGATTGGGACTTGGATTTTTCTGGTTATGTCATGGGTAAGGTTTTCGTGTTATTATACCTACTAACTGCCAATAGTTTCCTTCGGCTGGCACCCTGATCGATGTGCGAAGGGTGGGAATTGAACCCACAAACCTTCAGGTTGGTAGCCATACGCCCTACCGACTCGCCTTCCACCCCCTCGTGAGGCTACACTTTTAATAAGTTTTACCCAATCATTGAGCATGAAAATATTTTACCTTGCAGGACCTCTTATGACTTTATTAAAGGGTCTGGTCTCCGCGATTTTGGCTGTACTAATTTTGTTGTAAGAAGGGTAGGGACCTCAGAAGTACTCCCTTAATTTGGCCGATGATTTGGTGCAATACATCTGCCTGAACTCATAGTTTTTGCCTGAGTATTAATAGAATTGTAGCCCTGATTCAAGGGGTTCCAACAGGAATTGACCAGGGGCTTTTGACAAATTTTATTGTCATTTTTATCTGACACACTTTTTTACAATATCAGACTTGCAATTGTCCAACAGACTTCATTAATTTTTGGGGGTGGTACTTCATGGGTTATTCTGTTACTACATGGTTGCACGTTTGAACCCAACATATTGGTAATTCTTTTTATACTTTATTTATCCAAAATTTGTATTAAAATTATAAATAACACTTTTATTAGCTTAATTCTGCCTTTAATTAAAATAAGTGCCATAGTCAACATCCTTATTTGTTTCTAAATACTTTTATTTAAAGAATAGTTACATGTTATCAATAACTTAGCTAGCTTAATTTCTTAAGGTATTTGTTTTGTGAAGAAAAAATTGAATTTTGGTAAACTTTATACGTCAATTAACTTTGTAATCAACTCACATATTCAAGGATAGAATGGATTTTGTTCTGAAGTCTTAATTTACTAGGACTTATCATATCAGCTATGTTACTGAATGTGACAAATGAGAGTAATATTTGTTAGATTCAATAAGCTAAATTAGACCAACTTTAAATTGAATTTTCTGTTTGCTAATCAATAATACTGATATCAATACATGCTTGAGTCAAATTATACAAAAAATCAGGTTTTAGTCAAAATCTGATTTATCTTCAATTTTGGAGTGTAATGGTTCAACTTTACAACTGATGTTTGAAGAAATTAAAATGAAATGCCAATTCTTAGCTAAGACATTTTTGTAATGATTTAGACTAATTGCATCTACTTATCTCAGGCTTGTTGCTACCAAGTTTTATAATTATCATTATGTACTTATGGAGAACTTTTCTTTCTCGTTGCAAACACTTTTGCAACCCATTCAATTCAAGACTAAATTTAGTTTGATAATCTCATAGAGGGGATTAGTCTGCGCCCATGTCTGGGAGCAGTTGGGCAAGCAAGGCAAGAGGAGCAGGCGGAAGGCCCGCGGCCTCTAACATTCAAAAACGCCCCAGAGAATCTGGCAGAATAGAAAAAAATCTAAAAAACTGGTGGTCACAATTTCCCCAGAGATACTCGCGTGGCAAGCACGATGCAACCACTACATCAACACGCCACACTCCCAGCCACTTTTGTCAGTGGAATTTGGAGTCCGTGTGTATCTGGACATCCAAAAAACGGCCTTATGGGAAAAATTTTGTGAAGATATACACAAAATTTTTCTGACTGCGGTGTACGTTGCACCTCACTCCATGTCACACAGTTGGCTGGACCTAGGTTTTGAAAGCAAAATAGCAGCAGATGAGGCTGCAGCGGTGCGCATAGTGGTTGACCTCCCCGAAGGGCAATGGGTCATTGAAACCAAACGCACCAGATGGACAAAATCAAACCAAATTTTCCTCACGTTTGACTTTTTGCCTACTACGGTAAAATATGACATTTTGGAGCAACACCTGAAAGATGGTCTCACCATATATGGCGAAATACAATCTTTTGAAATGCAACAATTTATGCTGATGCCACACCTGTGCACCTGCAAAGCAATTGCAGTTCTAACCCCAACTGAGGAGATCGTGAAGGACCTAACCCAGATCCCACACTCCACCTTTATTGACATCGCAGGGCATACCACCCACCCATTCTGGGTAACCGTGGACAGCGCGCCCCCCATTTGCACCCACTGTGACGCGTTTGGCCATAAGGCGCACGCATGCCCCATCAAGGAGGGCATCACATTCCAAGAGCACCCCTTGGCAGCCATGGCCAGCGGAGAGGCGCACTACGAACCAACCACAAGCACCAAGGAGGCTTTCCCGTGGGGAGCACAAGGCTGCTACCTATTGGTAAAGCCCATCTCCCCACAGGAGTGGAAGAAGGCCAAGCAGGCCCATAGGGCCGCGGCCAAGGAAGCGGCCAAGGCCACCACCACCATCCCACACTCACAACGCCAGGAGGACATGGAGACCTTCGCGGTGGAAGCAACTCAGGAATCCATTACCCAATCAGATTGAGAGGCCCATGCTGAGTGGGCCACTCAATCCGAGGATCCGATGGGAGATTTGATCTCACCCAATCGCTGCACCCAAGCTCCAGTTGAAACCAGCTTGGGACCTATCCCAACTGAAAAAAGAAATTTTGCCCCACTCGATGGTGCACTGAACTTATCCGCACTGCAAAAAATTCATCTGACATTGGGAAAACAAAAAGTGAAGGCGAAAGCTAATGTGACTCTTTCCACAAAAATTAACAAAAACCCCTGATAGCATTGCTGCTAACACCCGCGCTGCTGTGAAAGCCCGTGGGGACCTGGAAGAGGCTGGTGGGCCTGGGGGCCCACCCCCTCACACCTAAGGTGTGATGGGGGAAACCTTCACTCTAGGGACGCTGAATATTGCCGGACTCAAGGCCTCCCCATCCCAGGCTAGGAAACTGAGTTTTTTACAAAACAATTTACCCGTGGATATCCTGGCCATCCAGGAGTCCCACTGTCCATGAGGTTCTGAGGAAGCTTGGAAAACAATGCTCCTACCATCCCTATCCTTTTGGGTGAAGCACTGTGGGGTGCTAATTCAGAAAAGCAATTTTTCAAATTCACATCCTCAGAAACATTCCTAAATGGCTGAGTGCTCATTGTCACCTTCTCGTGGGCTGATGTTGTGCACACAATTGTCAACAATTATGCCCCAAACGGTGCACACGAGCATCAGGAATTTTTCTCATCGGTCAAATCCCTTCCACTACCCCCCGATTCTTTCCTAGTTGGCAACATGAACTGTTGGCTAACCTCACCAACGGACCGGTGGCCTCCCTCACCCCACGCCCCACAGGGTCACGTAGAACTATGTGTTCTAAAAGCCACCCTTGGGTTGATGGATGCGCTGCTGTGACATGCCCCACTGCTTGAAAACATGATGTGTCCCCACATCCACAACGGCATATTAAGGTCTATGACTCACATCGACCTTATTCTAATGCCAGCGAAATTCCAACCCCACATCTCCCACTTCAAAACAACAAAACAGCAAAAATGGAATTCTCTGACCACCGACTGGTCTTGATAACCTACCACTTACCCGTCACAGTTGCAAAGGCCCCACATTGGTGCAAAATCCGCCCCCCTGAGCTCGCGTCGCCAGGATTTTCCATGTGGGTGGAAGAGGCAACTTTGGCAAAATCATTTGTTGCACCATTTTGCGCAGACCCCATTTCCACATGGGCAACTTTCAATGAAGACACCATCCGCCACTATCGCCATCTCTCCTCCAGGCGCTCATGAGCCACATTGGCGGTTATCTCGCGCGCGCTGGCAGAATTGGCCCACTTGGAGTCCAACATTCCAGCCACAGGATATAGCCCTGCATGGGGCCAGAAGTGGGTGGAGGCAGCCGCCCACCTCAACGCACTTGAAAGGCAACACAAACATCGGGTTTGTGTCCAATACAGGGCCACACGCATCACTAAAGGCGACAAGTGCACCGCATACTTCTTTAAAAAAATTTTCGCACCATGCCAGAGCGTGGCCTGCACACAGGTGTGAAGATCGGACAATTCCATTGTGGACATACCAGCTGAAGTGGCAATCGAAATGCAAAGATGTTACTCTGAGTTATACCAATCTGAACCAATTCAGCCAGCCGAAATGGCAGAATTTCTTGACTGAGCTCATATCTGCACCGTTTTCCAATACCCAGAAATAATGAATTTAATTACTCCAAACAAATTATGGACAGCCATTCGTGGTGCGCCAAACTGAAAATTTCCAGGCCCAGATGGCATTCCATATGAGTTCTACAAAAAATATTTTAAATATATATCCCCACTGCTGCTAGCCTCACTAAACCAAAGCCTGTTGGAAATGTGCCTCCTACCAGGAGGACATGAGGCCTTTACTGTCACACTTTTCAAGAAAGGGGATAGGCTTGACTTAGCCAACAGGCGCCCCATTTCTCTAACAAACACAGACACCAAAATTTTAACCAAAATCCTGGCTAACCGTTTAGGGACTGTAGCATCTGCCACCATCTCCTCAGAACAATTCGGTTTCATCCCCAGAAGGTCGATTTGGGATAACGTGCACTCTGTG